CACAAAATTCTATGACTCTTAACAAACATAATCATTTATAATATATAGCCTAACACAAAATATTATACTAGGTAATTATATTTTTTTTATTTACATTCGCATAGTCATCAAATTAATATCTTTTTTAAATAACAATATTTATACACTCAATACACGATATTATACATTTATTATAAATAATGTATCGACCTTGTATAAAGATGTATAATAGCTTTGTTAGATTCTTTTGTATGATTCTTTTCTTTCAATTTTCACAATACTATCTTTTGCCTTTTCCAAATCATTTTCAAGAGTAGTATGAATCATATTCATATTTTCCTTTTATCATATATTTTCAATTAGTTGTTTCAAGTTTATTCTTGAGTGTAGGGTAGACACTAAAATTTTGTGGGAATCTACAAGATGTGTTCAATTCGAGTAAGATTCTACAAGGTGTGTTAAATTCCAACTAAGATTCTTGGAGACTACTCATGTAACATCTCCCAACTCGAAACAACTAGAAAAGAGTTTAAAATATGAAAATACTTATCTTTGGAAAGAAAAAAAAAATTTGTAAAATTTGTCTAATTAGGGAAGTGAGTTTTGGTTCTTTTCAAACGATCATAACTCCTATATCGGGATGAGTTAGGAGTATTTCCAGACATGGTTGGAAAGCCCTTGGAATCTTTCCAAAGCCGCCGATCTTGTGCGATTTCAATATCGTATGAGTGAGTTATGTCTTTCGGAAGTTGGGTTGTTGGATTAAGGAAAGTCCAATCCGAATTTGGAAAGACAAAGTTGTCTTTTCCATACCTAATTTAATTAATTCATTTTTAGGAATTAATTGGGGTAAAGCAAGACTTTATTCCATTTAGGAAAAATAGAATTCACGTTAGGACTTAGAGAAGAGAGAAAAGAAGAGAAAAGAGGAGAGAGATCAAGAATCGCCAAGAACACTCACGCTTTGCATGTGGAATTCGTCGGGGGTGATCCCTAAAAAGGTATGTGAGATTGCATAGTATTGGATTAGTTCATCCACATGCCAATCTTGTTTAAATTCAGCGAATCTAAGTTATTTGAATGTTAAGAAAGTGAGTTCTTGAATAACATTGTCGAAAAATTAGTTAAATTCATCATGGTTGTGATGTTGAAACCTCTTGTTTATTTGATTCTTGTTTCAGAATGAAATTTTTCAATTAAATCTATTGGGCATGAGGGTAATAATGATCATAAGTGTTTGTAGAAAGAACCATGGAAGTTTAGAGGGTTTAGAGATGACAAACGAATGAGAAAAGTCAAGAACACCTGGGTACAGGGGTTGGGGCGTCGCACCTCTCAGAGCCCCTAAGGAAAGACTCTGTCTGTAGAACCTTAGGGCGCCGCACCAGCAAGAGCGCCCAAGCCTACTCTCTGTAAGATGAGGGCTAGCGCTCTACGTCTCTTAGAACGCCAGAGATGTCAGTTCTCCCCATTCTTTTCCCCACCTTTTCGTACTAATTCCTAAGTGATGTACCTATGTTTCCTAGTTAATTCCAACACTCTAAGGTACATCTAAACATTATAAAATTATCCATAAACATGAGACCATAAACCTTGAATCCATAATCCAATTCAAGAAAAGTTAAGATCAAAGTCGAAGAAGTTAAGGGTCAAGTCTAAAAGTCAAGAAGTAACTATCTAAAATTCTAAGAGTCCTTTCAAGAAGTCTTTTTGCAAATGCTTTTAACTTTGTTTTAAGACTTAAAGATTAAGTTGAGTAAGAGCAAAGATAAGTAAGATAAGTTCATATGAAGTTTTCAAGAAGTCATTGACAAACGTTTTAACCTTGTATTAATACTTAAGAGTTGAGTTCTGAAAAGAGTAAAGTTGAAGTTATTTCTTCAAAAAAGTATATGGGGATTATGTATTCCTAAAATGTTTTAAAGGAAATTTTTTCACATTTAAGCAAGAACGGAAACTCATATTTCAAAAGAGCCTTCGGGCTAGTTTTAAGGAAAAAGTAATAGCTTTTCTAAATGAAGCAAGTAGGGAAATCGAGATTTCCAATATAACCTTTGAGCTAAGTTTTGAGCACTAATCTCAAATCACAGAAGAAGTATATTTTAAAAACATAACAACCAGTATATTTCGGGAGTAGTATTGAGCACTGAATAGGGGATGAGCATGAGTTATTCACATCTCCATAAAACTATATAGTCACCATGGGTAGAAAAGGTCATACTTTTTAGATGAACCATTTTAACAGTAGACTAGTGGATCCATTAGGCAGTTTAGGTTTTATAGCTTTGGCCGGGTATAAGATGCGCTGGCAGCATGAGGTAAATTGATTGTATCATCACTATAGCTCTTATGTGATGCTTGTCAGTTAGAGAAACTCCCACAGAAGTTATTGAATTTTTATATACACAGTTTATTTTTATTTTTGCAAACATCTCAAAGTTAATTGTATCTATGCATACATACAGAGTTTATGACATGTTTTTAAACAACTTTTCTTTTTATTGCACTTGTTTTAAAATTGCTTTATATTGAAATGAGTCAGTTATATGAGTTGAGTTGAGCCAGATATGTTTCTCAATTTCCCTCAGACTCTTTCTAGTCTATGTTGTTTAGCTTTTCAACTCGCATACTCGTACATTCAATGTACTTATTTCAGTTGGCTTACATATTATTATGATGTAGACTCATGTAACGAGGATCGACATCCACCGCACTGTTGATCCAGTTGAGCACTCCAGAGTTACTTGGTGAGCTTCCTTGCATTCCGGAGGAATCCTTTTATTGGTTTCAGTATTTTTCTTTAATTAGGATGTTGTGGGGTCTTTCCCGACATCTATCTCAGTTTTAAAGGCTTCATAGTTGACAGTCAGATGTTAGTCCTTCAATCTTTTCATTTTCTTTCTAATTGTTAAAACTTGGGGTGCCACTTTTGGCCAGTTGAATGTTTAATCTTTAAAACATTCTCAGTTTTATCAATTCAGTTGAGTTATTGATCATGATATAAGTAAGTATATTGTCTTTTGTTGAGTTGACTAAGCTAGAATAACGGTCCGCTCGAGGCTAGCAATGGTCTTCAACTGTCGATCCTGCCCAAGGTGTAGGCTCAGGGCATGACAACTCAACCCTAAACTCTAGTTTATCTCTATATAAAGAGCACTATATTCCCTTGAAACGGTATCTCGAGTATTTCGCAAATATTTGGATATTTATAAAGATATTAAACTCAAATCATCCTAGTTCGAGAAATATGGCACTAAAATTATGACAGTAAGGGGCCTCGAATCATAGATAAATCTTTTGAGAGAAGAATCAAGGAAGGAATAGAACTATACATATATATTCATAAATAAAATTATGATTCTTCATATTTAATTTGTGATTGTAGTTTATTTTCTCTCTCTTTGAAATATGTTGCAAGAAAATTAGCACGCCCAGGGACCAAATCATCCCTTTCATCTCTTCTCTCACCGATCGAATATACTAATCTCCAAGTCTCGTCTTTGAGTTTCAACAAGTCTACACTCCAAAAATCTTTGAAGCAGGGGAATTTGTAAACATTGATATTTTGTGAAACTTTACAAGACGTTTCTAATTCGAGTTGGAACTCTATGAATTGTATGTTTAATTCAACTAGGATTCTTGGAGGCTACTCAATCTTAAACCCTAACTCATGTCTATATAAAGTGTTCTTCTACAGGACCTCAATTATCTTACTTGTATGTTACTTTACTTAAGTGAATCAAGTTGTCTAATGTGTTTCAGAGAAGCTATAAAGACAGTAAGTAAGAACACGATATTTTACGTGGAAACACCCGGCTCAAAAGATGTAATAACCACAACCTGATCCTCAATAAGATTTACCCCATGATCTACTAAATAATTACAAGCCTTAACCAACAAATGAGATTACAAGAGTTTATCTAACCTAATGATCAACTACTTAACCTCAATTTGATCACACACCTCCAAGGTATGTGTTCCCTGTGTCTTCTAGTTTCCCTCAACTTCAAGACTAAAATCCTAAATTCAGTTTAGAAATCACTGATCTAGAATTAATAAAATCACAAATACTAAGAACTCTTCCCATATTTGTGCTTCTATATTTTTTTATCAGCATCACTTCGGAAATACATCTCTCGATTGTTTTTCTTTGCAAGGGTGTAATTTGAATGAAGCCTCCTTTTATTATTTATGTTTTTGCTTTCGGAGGTCTTCTATTCCTTTAGGGACTCCTCTGTTCGTTCCATAATTCTATTCCATTTAGATTTCTTTTTGCAATGAGACTCTGTCATAAAATAAAAGTCCTTCTTGAAATGATTTCTCCTGTGATAAATTTGCCAATATGATCCATGCATTTCATCATTTATTAAAACAGTGTTTAATCCAACATAAAGGGTGCTATATTCCTTGAAAAGACATCTCGAATATTTCGCAAATTCATGAAATATTCACAAAGACACCAAATTAAAATTATCCTTGTTCAAGAAATATATTACAAACGGAACACGAATGGATATATTTTACGAGAGAAGAATCAAGAGAGGACCACATTTTTACCCACACTCTTGATCAATAAAGTTGTATTTTTTCATATTTTATTTGTGATTGCAATGTATTTTTCTATTACTTTAAAATTTATTACAAACATGTTATTTTTCCAATATCAACTTAAGAACTAGTTTTCGAAGGTTTTTGTTTCTTTTTTCAAATTCAGCCTTAATTTGTTCAAAATATTTGCAACTAAAGTTAACGTTTGAAATGTTGTTAGTTTACCACTAATTCATTATCAACACTCAAGATACCGGTCTCATTCATCAAAGAGAACATTATAGACAACAGTTTTCTCGCAAATATAAAATTAAGCTCAGAGATATTCTCGATATTTGTTTTATCTTCTGAGTTTGAATGACTCATACGGTCATCATTGCAAATTCTCTTTCTTTACTTTTTTTTCTCATGATCAAAGCGTATTAGTGAAATAAATTACTAGAATCGAGCATAATATGGTAAATATAGAGCATCATACCAAAATCAAACTTTCTAGTATCGCAATTTTGTTATTACAATATTTGATATGCATTTTAAATTTATTTGATATTCAGTATTTCATATCTAAGGTTTGGTGGCACATTTATCGATACATATGCCAGTAGACTAGTAAAGGCACGCCTAAACTGCTTAATCTGACCCAAACCATATGTTAACCAAAATATTTAGTAAAAAAATAAGCATTTTAAATTTATTTGGTATTCCATATACAATATAAAATAATATATTAATTGAATACGGGACCAATGCCCATTTCTTAATTAAGAAACTCGATCAAATAGTCAAGTCCAACAAGACTTAGACCAATCCAGAAATAAAAAAAAAAAGAACAACAAAATAATCAAAAACTAAAATGGAAAATAACAATCGAGAAGGCTCTAGAAAGTCGATCAAACTACAATTTAATTTTCTTCGGAGCAATCAAGGCTTGGGACCTGAATCAAGCCTTGTAGGAAAAGGGAGGGGATACAACTTCAAAAACTAGGAGTTGCTTTGGTACAAGTTGTGTTGAACTTGAATAGATTTCCCCATCGAATTCTAGAAAATTCTCGCTGATATCATGGAATTTGATTTCATGGAAGACCGTTTCGAGTCATGCGTTGTAGACCTGGTAAAAGCCCTCTTCCAAATTCAATATCACCATATTTGAGCTAAAATAACACTAATCTTTGGTAAACAATAGAATTCTAGGACGACTAATTATTGTCATCCTTCATCCTTACAGTTTGAGTTAGATCTAATACCACACATATAACTCGATACTAAGGTACGTTCATCGTATGTACCTATTTCTACTATTTTTATGTTCCTTGCTTTAATTTTGCCTAATGTTGACGTTTTCGAGTCATGCGATGTAGATCTAGTAAAACTACTAACCTAAATGCAATATCACCAGATCTGAGCTAAAATAACATCAATCTTTGTTAAACAATAGAATTCAAGAATAATTATCCACATCCTTCATCCTTGCAGGTTGAGTCGGATCAAATGCCACTCGTATAACTCGATACTAAGCTACATCTTATATCCCTAATTTTTATTATGTTTATATTCCTTGCTTTAATTGTGCCTAATGTTGATGTTTTTGAGTCATGCTGTGTAGATTTGGTAAAACTCCTCTCCTAAATTCAATATCACATATTTGAGCTAAAATAACATCAATCTTTATTAAACAATATAATTCTAGGGGGACTAATTTTTAGTAGGATCTAATACCACACGTATAACTCGATAATAAGGTACATCGTATGTCCCTAATTTCAACTATTTTTACGTTCCTTTCTGTAATTGTGCCTAATATTGATGTTTTCGAGTCATGTGTTGTAGATCTGGTAAAACCCCTTTCCTAAATTCAATATCACCAGATGTGAGCTAAAATAACACTAATCTTTGTTTAATAATAGAATTCTAGGACGATTAATTATCCACATCCTTCATCCTTACGGGCTGAGTTGGATCTAATACCACACATATAACTCGATACTAAGGTACATCCTATGTCCCTAATTTATACTATTTTTATGTTCCTTTATTTAATTGTGCCTAATGTTGATGTTTTCGAGTCATTGTAGATATGGTAAAACCCCTCTCCTAAATTCAATATCACCAGAACTGAACTAAAATAACATCAAACTTTGTTAAACAATAGAATTCTAGGATGACTAATTATCCACATCCTTTATCCTTACAGGTTGAGTCGGATTTAATACCACACTATAACTCGATACTAAGGTACAATATCGTATGTTCTTAATTTCTACTACTTTTATGTTCATTTATTTAATTGTGCCTAATGTTGATGTTTTCGAATCATGAATTGTATCTCTGGTAAAACCCTTCTCCTAAATTCAATTTCATCAAATTTGAGCTAAAATAACATCAATTTTTGTTAAACAATAAAATTCTAGGACGACTAATTATCCACATCCTTCATAATGATATTATTTGCATAGACTAGATGATGAATATTTTCACTTCATGTGTCTAATTATTAATCAATATAGAATAAAAATTATCAACAATTATTTTTCAAATCTTGTCTACCACAAAGTTATTACACCACCTTGCACACATCATCTTCCACAATGTCCAACAACACATTAACACTAGTACAAAACTAATTATTTAGATGTTATAATTTTTATTATTACTCTATCTTAATTTAAATATTTTTTTGTATTATTGATTAACAACGAAAATTGTTTACATTTTCTTTTGAACATTTTTACATGGATAAGGTGATAGTATGATATGATATAATTGAGACATTTCTAAAAAGGCGAAATGATATATATTTATTACATAAGTACATGTAAATTGAAATTAAAAAAATTATAATTATCAATTTATCGTACTGCAAAATACTTGTAACCAAACTACAAAATCATACCAAATTTGTTTGATATAGTAATAACAACATATTATTTCAAAACTTCAAAAATCAAAATTTCCTAATGGGGAATAATCAATATTGTATCACTTCCAATGCTACTAATGACACAAATCATTGTCTTTACATGCTGCTAGGAAGGTCAGTCTCGTGACTTACTTTGATAATTTTTTTCAGCTTTATTAAAAGGTGGATCTTGGGGATTGATAGGGATTTTGTTTGAGTTCTCTCAGTAAAAAATGACACGATATATATAAGATAATTTTTATCATCATTTGTGATACATACAAATTTTGAATTTTTAAAAATAAAACTAAAGGTCAGCTTAATGATTTAAAAAATTCAAAATTTATCCTGCCGTTCCAACCTTTAAGTTTAAACTTTATGCATTTTTTCAAAACTTCGACTAGAACCTAATCTTTTTTGTTGTTTTCTCTTTTCACCATTGAGTTTTTCGCATTGAATAATTATTTATCATTTGATCCATTGAAGGATGAGTTGTCAGGTACATTGTTTTGTCTGAATTTATCCTTTTGAAGTTGCTTTTAGAAAATGTCTGAATTTTTCCTTTTGAAGTTGCTTTTAAAAATGACTGAATTTTTCCTTTTGAAGTTTCTGTTAGAATTCTTCATGAACTTCATAGAAAAAAAAAGAGTTATATAAAATTATCATTAGATTCGTCTTTATATGAATTTGTGTGATGATACCATATAAGCGCCAAATAAATATCACATGACACAAAGTGTCTCTTGTGGAGGGTTTACATAGGAAGAAGACTTGTGCTTGTAGAAATTCTAGAGAAATATAGAGATTTTTAATGAAAGATTATAAAATTACATAAAAAAATTTCTATAATTCACTAGGTAAAGAGAGTTTCAGAAAATTGACCTAAATGTAAATATGTAGGGATTTATGTA